GAGAGGGAGGCCAAAATAACGTACTATAAAAAACCACCTATGTAGTCAGCTGGTCTCTGCCTGTTCTGCGCCAACGTCCATCCTCAGACACTGTGGGCCCTGTGCGCTCGCGTTCGCTGCCATGGGCAGCAGGGGAGGGGTGGGGGGGTAGGAGCAGTGGCAGCTCCCAGCAGCAGCTGCTGCCTCAGTCTGCAGTCGATGATGAGTAGCTTTCTTCACCAGCGCAGTGAGGAAACTAATAACCAGCCGCAGCAGCAGCAGCAGCAGCAGGCATCAGGTGGACCTGGAGCAGGACCTCAAACAACAGCTTGCTAGGCCTACTTGGACAGCACCCTGCCAACCGAGGTAGACAATCCCCTTGACTACTGGGCAACGAAACTTGACCTTTGGCCCCAACTAGCTGAATTTTTGCCCTTGAAAGGCTGTCATGCCCGGCCAGTAGCGTGGCATCGGAGCGCGTGTGTTTAGTGCGGGCAGGAGGTATTGTTCAACTCCGCGGAGGACACGACTGTGCTGTCCACCCAAAGTGTGGAGAGAGACTCACGTTTGTGAAAATGAATCAGGCGTGGATTAGTCTGGATTTCAAACCACCAGTTCCTGACACAACTGACTAAATCCGCCATGAATCATGCCCCAAACATGTGCCACTTTCAGGTCTCCTCACACACTGCTGGTGTGTGTTCCATTTTTTGTCATAGGGTGCTGGCAGATTACGGGCCTCCCATAGCTGCTGCCAGGCCCCTAATCTGCCATGGGCCCCTATACCGCCTCCTCATGCTGCTGCCAAGTCCAGAGTCTCTCATGGGTCCCTGTACGGCCTCCCATTGCTGCTGTCTCCATCGCCACACTCTGCCATGTGCCACTTTCAGGTCTCCTCACACTGCTGGTGTGTTCAATTTTTTTGACATAGGGTGCTGGCAGATTACGGGCCTCCCATAGCTGCTGCCAGGCCCCTAATCTGCCATGGGCCCCTATACCGCCTCCTCATGCTGCTGCCAAGTCCAGAGTCTGTCATGGGTCCCTGTACGGCCTCCCATTGCTGCTGTCTCCATCGCCACACTCTGCCATGTGCCACTTTCAGGTCTCCTCACACTGCTGGTGTGTTGAATTTTTTGACATAGGGTGCTGGCAGATTACGGGCCTCCCATAGCTGCTGCCAGGCCCCTAATCTGCCATGGGCCCCTATATACCGCCTCCTCATGCTGCTGCCAAGTCCAGAGTCTGTCATGGGTCCCTGTACGGCCTCCCATTGCTGCTGTCTCCATCGCCACACTCTGCCATGTGCCACTTTCAGGTCTCCTCACACTGCTGGTGTGTTTTTGAATTTTTTGACATAGGGTGCTGGCAGATTACGGGCCTCCTATAGCTGCTGCCAGGCCCCTAATCTGCCATGGGCCCTATACCGCCTCCTCATGCTGCTGCCAGGTCCAGAGTCTCTCATGGGTCCCTGTACGGCCTCCCATTGCTGCTGTCTCCATCGCCACACTCTGCCATGTGCCACTTTCAGGTCTCCTCACACACTGCTGGTGTGTTAAATTTTTTGTCATAGGGTGCTGGCAGATTACGGGCCTCCTATAGCTGCTGCCAGGCCCCTAATCTGCCATGGGCCCCTATACCGCCTCCTCATGCTGCTGCCAGGTCCAGAGTCTCTCATGGGTCCCTGTACGGCCTCCCATTGCTGCTGTCTCCATCGCCACACTCTGCCATGTGCCACTTTCAGGTCTCCTCACACACTGCTGGTGTGTTCCATTTTTTGTCATAGGGTGCTGGCAGATTACGGGCTTCCCATTGCTGCTGCCAGGCCTGTAATCTGCCATGGGCCCCCCGTACCGCCTGGTCACGCTGCTGCTGGGTCCACAGTGTGACATGGGTCCCTGTACTGCCTCCCATTGCTCCCACTCTGCCATGTGCCACTTTGAGGTCTCCTCACACTCCTGCTGGTTTCCATTTTGTCATAGGTTGCTGTATGGCCTCCCATTGCTGCTGCCTCCACCACCACACTGTGGCTCCAAACACTGGTTTTGGCCCCGTGACTGGCCAAATGAGTGAAGTGTGCGGTGATTCTAAGATCGACGGCACTCATCTGCATGTCATACTGACTGACAGTATTATTTCTCTTCCCCAGCAGACTCCAAGGGCATTTAAATTAAAGGTACAGTGTTCTGCACTAATATTAAGTCTCTCTGAAGCCTAGAAACACCCTTTTTTAAGTTAAATTCACAGCGAATATATTCGACTCGAATCGAATATTGTCCACGAATTCGCTGAATCAGTCGAATCGAATTTTTGAATACTTCGCTCATCTCTATTTGTGACCTCTGCTACGCAGAGCCATGCAAAGCAAGGTGCAGGAGCTGACAGAAGAGAGAACTGTATTGTTTACATTGTTCTCTCCCTCCCTCCGTTGGTAATTCTCTGCGATAACCGGGTGCCGGAAAGTAATCACTATCTTTGACCCGGTGATTGACAGCCGAGGCCGTGAATAGTGGCTGGGGTAGGGAGTGCGGCTCATGCACGCCCCCTACCCGGAAATGCAAAAGCATATATATATATATGTGGTTTTGCGCAACCCTGCTGCCCTGTAGTGGTATATCTTCTATAGGGCAGTGAGAAAGCGGTTAAATTAAAGTTATTATTAATATATTTCTAAACCCCAATAAAGGAACCAAGGCCTAATATTTTCTACATTCTGGTTTGTGTGTCTATTTATTTATTTAAATAATAATTTGTTTTGGGAGGACATATGGGATGAACTGTCCCATGGCATACTGAACTCTCCTCTGGTTTCACATACATGTGGTGCGGTATATTGCATGTGATTTGCACAGAAACTGCACCGCATTCCTGTGGAAATTCCATGCGATTTGTGTGCAGTGCGATTGGAGCCATGCATTTTGTATGGCTCTATTCACACCACACCCCCATCAAAAAATGCGCAGATGCTGTTCTATCTACATGTGTCTGATATAGATAAAATATGCAACAGCCTAAGACCTGAAAGAGTATAATCATGTAACATTTTGCAGTACATTAAGGGTTCATGCACACGGGGCTTTTAGAAGCATTTCAAATATCTAGTGTAATTTCCCAGAGCTTTCCTGCTCCAGGGGAACAGCATAAGCTGCATACAGCCTGCAATACAAATGACTGTAATTGCCATATACAAATGTGCTCTTGTAAACGCAGATGCTTCTTTGCATCAGTGTTTAGCTGCACATGCATATCCGACATCTTTCATGTGCAGAAAAAGCATCAGATGCGCATGTGTGGGTAATGGCTGATGCAAAGAAGCTTTGGTATGTACAAGAACATGTCTGCGTATAGTCATTCACTTGTATGGTAGGCTGCATGCAGCATGTGCAGCTTCGAGGGCCATGAAAAAGCACTGGGAACTTATGCAATGCATACAAAATGCCTGTAAAAAACCCATGTGCATGAATCCTAGGTAGCGTTACCCTCGCGAGGGCTGCTTGTATGATGTCCTGGTTTCCCCTTACTTTGCCCCCCAGCCAGGCACATTGTATTCCTTCAGCTAAAGACACACACACACTTCCACTAGTTGTCTCCAATGACTAGTCTAGGGGATGTTTGTTTTTGGAGTTTTATTGTAGAACTGGGGATAGGGAGGGGAATTGTAGTAGGATACTCCAAAATCAGAACTATTCACACTGAGAACATCTAACTGATCTGTTAGTTTAGCAATGTAGAAGTAGTAGTAGTTCCAGGGCTGAGTTCCTCAGGTATAAGCCAGTTACGACAGACTGCAGCAGCCCAAAGGTAACATAGCTGAGCAAAGTCCTTTGCAGTAGCAACACTTGGACAAGCTCTTCAGAACACTAGCCAGTGTTCCCTTTTTCCAGACCCACGCTGACTCTCAAACACCAGGGGAGGTAGCAAGCACACAGAGATCCCAAATTCCTTAATGACAAGGCTCATGAACACAATGGTTGCCTCCTTCCAATTGTCCATGCGAAACCCTCCAGTGACACTAGACAGAGCTTTGGCGGACAGCTCCCCTCAGTCAGCTTCCTGAACAACCAGGGTCACTCTAACTTCAGGCCCTCAGGTCAACCCACCAGAGGCCACAAGCAGCAAGTGCCAGGAGAGGTAGCCTGCCTTCACCCTGGCTAATGCAATCCACTCCAGAGAAAGACACTCAAGCCATGTACTCTCCAAATAGAAATACCACTCCCAGCATTCAGTGGGACAGTCCTCCCCTGCAATTTGCCAGGGTTGTATCCATATTCATGTACATTTGCCTAGCCCCTACCCGTGTTCTGGAAGGCTCTCATAGCTTCCTGAAGGCAGGCAGAACTCAGACAAACTCCAACAGTACCAGAGCAGCATGAGCAGACCTAACTTAGCATGAGCAGACCTAACTCATCAATCCCAGCACTCTGTTAAGCAGAATACCACACTGAAATTACCTGACAGCCTCTCTGGTAAGCAGAGAAACACAGCTATGCTACACCTAACTATACATATCATAGGACCTAACTAGGAGGGTGCTACACCTAACACAGAAAGATCTAATTTACACTTCCACAGTTGCGGTGTAGTTGTGTGGGTTTTTAGGACTTAAAACAGACAGTGTGGAGGCAACAAAATGCCTCTCACCACCTGTCAGTCGCCCTATGCAAAACAAATCAATGCAGATTGCTCTTCAGAGTGCACTGCACCTAGGGTTGCCACCTCATCCCTTTAAAACCGAACACATATTTATTACACAGGTTGTTGGGCTGATTAAGGTGGTTAATAAAATAACTTATTGCCTTATCTACATTACATTAGCCTCAAAAAACATGTGTAATTAATATGTATTTGGTTTTAAATGGATGTGTTGGCAACCCTAACTGCACCTGTAAAGGTGCCCAAAGAGATTCAAATTTAATTTACACTTGGAACTATTATGTCCAGATTTGAAATGTATGTGCTGCCACCTACTGATAACATGAAGAAGGGATATTCTACTTCTTGTTACAGGAAAGATATATTCTCCATCAGTGTGTCTCTCTTGCACAGTAATACATGGCAGTGTCTTCTATTTTCATGTTGTCTGTTTTCAGAGTCAGCTTGTTATTGTTATTATCTCTGGTGGTTGTGAATCTCCCTTTAACAGCATCATTATAGCCCGTGCTCCCACCGCTACTAATATAACACAACCATTGTAACTTTCCATCAGAGAACTGTCTGATCCAGTGCATATAATAGTCACAAAGGTGAATCCTCCTGAACCCTGACAGGTCAGTGTATGGGAGTTCCCCGGCTTTATCACGGCTGAATCAGACTGGACAAGTTGGTTAGAAGACAGGACACCTGGAAAATATACAGAGACAATAGGAAATAGTATTAGAACTAATACATACACTGAGATCTATTAGGAGGATTATGTCATCTGAGGGATCCTGTCCTATGGAGTCTCACCTGACAGCCATGATAATGATATAAACAGGCCTATTAGGGTCTTCATTATTCCTCTGTTTAATCTGTATGTATACACTTCAGAAATAACCTGTAAAGGGTCTTCTCTATCTTTATAGTGTATGAGAGATTTCATGGTAGGAAGTGATGTCATGTCATTTGCATAATGTGTAGAATATCTATATGCATCAGAACATACAGTCAGCTACAAGTAATAATTCATAATTGCTTTACTTTGATTTCATTTTTCAGTTCAAAGACCAACAAAGACTTTCCAGCACTAAAGCATATTAAAGTGATACTCAATCAGAACCTATTGTCTAGGGATAGTAGCTACTGAATGCAAAGAGGTTTAAGTACTCTAAAAGTGCTTAAATAGACACAGCAATATCCCATACTAAAAATAAACTTAAAAAAATATTTAAGGCTGCATAGGAGTAGTTTATTAAAGTGTTTCTAAAGCCCAAACGTTTTTTTAATTTAATGCATTCCTTGCATTAAGGTAAACAATGTTTAGGTAGCAGTATTCTCCCTCAACCCCCTTATGCCTACCTGAGCCCTCACTCAATCCAGCACTGTGCCTACCTGTAGCAGCTCTCCCTGCTGTCACAGGCTTGGCTGAGAGAAGCAAGAGCCATTGGCTGCTGCTGCTATTAGTCAAATTCTGTGACGAGGGGGCGTGGCTGATCCACACTGTCTATGTCTATAGACACAGGCACTGTGGCTCGGGGTCGAGCCTGCAAATGTGCCACAATAGGAATCAGCTTCCTATAGTGGGACAGTGAGAAGAGGAGGAGCCAGGAGTGCTTGCGGGGCACCTGAAAAGAGGAGGTTCAGGGCTAAATTCTGTTTCACACAGCAGGTAAGTAGAAACCTGTTTGTTATTTAAAAAAAAAAAAAATAGCATTTTCAATCACTTTAATAATTTGCTGGAAAATCACAGATTTACGAGCATACAGGTGAAACTAAAAAAATTAGAATATTGTGCAAAAGTTCATTTATTTCAGTAATGCAACTTAAAAGGTGAACCTAATATATGAGATAGACTCATCACATGCAAAGCAAGATAATTCAAGCCGTGATTTGTCATAATTGTGATGATTATGGCTTACAGCTCATGAAAACCCCAAATCCACAATCTCAGAAAATTAGAACATTACATGCAATCAATGAAACAAGGATTGTACATAGAACAATATTGGATCTCTGAAAAGTATAAGCATGCATATGTACTCAGTACTTGGTTTGGGCCCCTTTTGCAGCAATTACTGCCTCAATGCGGTGTGGCATGGAAGCTATCAGCCTGTGGCACTGCTGAGGTGTTATGGAAGACCAGGATGCTTCAATAGCAGCCTTCAGCTCTTCTGCATTGTTCGGTCTCATATCTCTCATCTTTCTCTTGGCAATGCCCCATAGATTCTCTATGGGGTTCAGGTCAGGCGAGTTTGCTGGCCAATCAAGCACAGTAATCCCACGGTCATTAAACTAGGTTTTGGTGCTTTTGGCAGTGTGGGCAGGTGCCAAGTCCTGCAGGAAAATGAAGTCAGCATCCCCATAAAGCTCGTCTGCGGAAGGAAGCATGAAGTGCTCCAAAATCTCCTGGTAGACGGCTGCGTTGACCCTGGAATTAATGAAGCACAGTGGACAAACACCAGCAGATGACATGTCTCCCCAAATCAACACAGACTGTGGAAACTTCACAGTGGACTTCAAGCCTCTCCATTCTTCCTCCATACTCTGGGTCCTTGGTTTCCAAATGAGATGCAAAAGTTGCTCTCATCAGAAAAGAGGACTTTGGACCACTGAGCAACAGACCAGGTCTGTTTTTCTTTAGCCCAGGTAAGACGCTTCTGACGTTGTGTGTTGTTCAGGAGCAGCTTGACAAGAGGAATACGACATTTGAAGCCCATGTCCAGGATCCGTCTGTGTGTGGTGGCTCTTGATGCACTGACTCCAGCCTCAGTCCACTCCTTGTGAAAGTCCCCAACACTTTTGAATGGCCTTTTCCTGACAATCCTCTCTAGGCTGCGGTCATCCCTGCTGCTTGTGCACCTTTTTCTTCCACACTTTTCCCTTCCACATAACTTTCTATTAATGTGCATTGATACAGCACTTTGGGAACATCCAACTTCTTTTGCAATTACCTTTATGCTGTACAAGTTCTGTTTTTTCCTACTCTCCCACCAATGCTTCTCGTTCTGAGCCACCAGGAAATGGAGTTCAGCCTACCACTTATGAAATGGTTGCTACTTATATCCAAGCTCAAGAGACTGTTGCAACGACCCTGAACACTGAATGAACTCGAACTACAGGAGGGGCTGTGAAGACGAGAATTCAGCACAGATACAAAATGGAGTCAGAATTAGTTAGGAGCATAGGCTAGAGGACTTATTAACTTGTTTTTGTTCCAGGTGTTCATGGCTGTGTGGTAGAGATAGACACATCATCCCAAGTAAGCTAACTAGGAGTAGCATCCTGCTCAAACAAAGGATCTTGAATGGGTAATAACTAACTAACAGTGATGACAATTTTAGTGGTCATGACTATTGCTGTAGCCACCTCTGGCCATTTCGAGTACAAATCATAAGCTATCAAGCAGAATCTTTGATGTTTTGGTGCTACTGAAATTTTTCCACTTACATCCAATTGGATTGTATTCCATGGGCCTTTTGGGAAATGTCTGACTTGTAATGAAGCAGCTGTTTTTTTTTCTGATTTTTGAGTAAGCACAGTTTACAATTGCAAACTAAAGTTTCTACTTGGTTGTGTATACCAGCACACTAAAGTTATTTTGTCTGTACCACACCTAGATTACCTTTGTGAGCCATCTTAGAACTGATTGTCCCAGTGCAGCTGGAATTACTGCTCTGTCTTCTTAAAAGGCAAACATCTTTGGTGACAACTCAGTTCTTACTTGGTAGCACAACTGAAGATGTCCTTGTAAGGCAGTTGGCCATTCACCATGTAAGTAGGTCAACATTTCTTGAATCACTGGCTAAAAATCAAACATATGTGGCTTACGGCCAAAGTTAAAAAATCTATAGATAATAAGAAAAGATCCTTTATTAAATATAAAAATGAAGAGATGCTATCATCGTTTAAACATTTTAAAGTGTATAACAGAATATGCAAAACGGAAATAAAGGCCACAAAAATTGAAAATGGAAAACAGATTGCAAAAGATAGCAGGACCAACCCCAAAAAATTCTCCAAATATATTAATAGTAAAAAGGTCCAGTCCAAGCATGTAGGCCCTTTACAAACTAATCTAGAGTGTGTGACTGGGGACAAAGAGAAGGCAAATGTATTAAATACCTTCTTCAGCTCTGTGTATACAAAGGAGCCTGGGGGAGCTCTTGTCCATAATGGGCATGGTATTGACACAGCTGCAGATGATCCACATTGGCTCACAATTGATATGATCCTAACAAATTTAAACAGTATAAAGGTGAATAAAGCAACTGGACCAGATGGCATACACCCACAGGTCCTTAAAGAATTGAGCTCTGTAATTTCAAAGCCATTGTTTCTCATTTTTAGGGACTCTTTAATGACTGGCATAGTACCACTGGATTGGCATAAGGCCAATGTGGTGCCAATATTTAAAAAGTGGTGAAAATCTTTACAAGTAATTATAGACCTGTTAGTTTAACTTCTATAGTTGGGAAGATACTGAAGAGTTTAATAAAAGACCACATAGATGAGTTCTTGCTGGAAAAAAATATTTTAAGCAACAGACAGCATGTTTTCATGAAGGACAGAAGTTGTCAGACAAATCTGATTTCTTTTTATGAGGGGATGAGTAAAACCTTGGACGTGGTATACTTGGAGTTTGCAAAAGCGTTTGGCACAGTTACCCACACATGGCTAATGTGTAAGGTAAAGTCCACAGGTTTGGAAAAATCCGTATGTAAATGGATATAAAAACCTGGCTAAAAGAACGTATTAAAAAAATTGTGGTTAATGATTCATGTTCTGAATGGTCTAGGGTTGTCAGTGGTGTACCCCAAGGTTCAGTGTTGGGATCCTTACTGTTTAATATATTTATAAACCATATAGGGTCTGGGATTAAAAATCCCATTTCAGTCTTTGCTGATGACACCAAGCTGTGCAGTGGAATAACGTCCTTTCAGGATGTCTTCAATTTACAAGCCGACCTCAATGCACTGTTTAATTGGGCAACTATGTGGCAAATGAGGTTTAATGTTGATAAATGTAAGGTTATGCACTTGGGGGCTAAGAATATGCATCCATCATACATACTAGGGGGAGTAACTGGGGGAATCAATGGTGGAGAAGGATCTGGGAGTTCTGGTAGATCACAAGCTTAATAATGGCATGCAATGCCAAGCTGCGGTTTCTAAAGCGAGCAAAATCCTGTATTAACCTCCCTAGCGGTACGATTATGTCAATATTTCTGTGCTCAAAGAGGTACATTTTTTCATATGGAAATATGTAGTTTTTTTATTGTAGGCCTGTAATTTTTAGGAATAACTCACTGAAATCTGTCTGAACAAGAGTCTAGTAAACATCCCGGGTATGATAAAATTTGAAACACGAAATCATAAATTATAATATAATACATAATCATAAAAAAATAATAATCTAATAATAATAAATTTAATTCAATATTATAATCAAAGCAAAAACACTGAAATTTAAAATATAGCGCCAAGTTCGCACATCACTGAGCTCAGTCGCAGAATAATTTTCAGTGTCTGATGACGAATTTCCCCACGAATCATTATCACTCAATTCTGCAAGTGGTTCTGATTTACTATCGCTGTTC